AAAATACCTTATCTTATCACGTTCAGAAAACATATTCGTAGAAAAATGTCTAAAAATCATTGATTTTCATAAGGATTTATGAACCCGTTGCTTAGGAAATGAATTTCCTTGGATACCAGTCCCTTCATACGTTCGAAAAAAATTTTAATTGTGTTTTAGCATTAGGTAAGACAAAATCTTTCATATACCAGAAGCTTTTGAAAAAATAAAATTTTGACTTTCCATTCAATGCTCGATGCTTGCTGATTTTGACTCTTAAATATGCTTCGTACTGTGAAATCGCTAATTTTCATGGGAGTTAAAAATTTTTTTAGTCGTTCTATGATTATAAGAGCCCTTAAATTCATGTTCTCCATGTAATATTTAAATTTCAGACTACAAAATATTTCATCAACTGCAGAATAATTTTCCCACAAAATATATCTATTAGTAACAATGTCAGATATTAGGTTCAAAGCTTTTATTTTGACCATTGTTATTTACAGATGGGTTATGGCAGCAGAGCTTTGTCTTTGTTAAAGCAGTACTATAAAGGGGAGGTGGTCAGTTTGTCCGAGTCTGTAGACACAGAGCCGGAGACCAATGTCATAGATGACCAGGTACGAACAATTGTAATACATGTACAGCATCACTTGCTTAGGCTGCAAAATCATCATTACTATCAAAAATTAGATATGCTCACATGATATGAAGTTAAAAGTTTATGCATGTATACCAGTACTTAGAGATACAGGTTTTAGAATCAAGACACTTTATAATATTATTGCATATTATAATGAAACAGGAGGTGAACTTACTTGAGGAAAGAGTGACTCCCAGGAAAAATCTACCTCCACTGTTGATGAAGCTGAGTGAAAGAAAACCAGAAAAACTGGATTACTTGGGAGTCTCTTATGGATTGACATCAGGTTTACTCAAGTAAGCAAATGAAATAAAATCTGTCTTCCCAGTACTAGAATATCTTAATTTGTTTGATATTGTACATGTTTGTATTTGTATTTTTTTTTCAAATTGTTGTATCTATATACAGGCATGTATACTTGGATGCAAGAATATGAAAGAATTGAATTTTGTGGTGAATATTTTTAGGTTCTGGAAGAAAAATGGATTTGCACCTGTGTACTTAAGACAAACACCTGTAAGTTTAAAGCATTTGTTGCTTTTTTTATTCTTAAATTTTAACAATTGTTAGGACTAGATGGTTTGGTGTATTATAAAGACCTTCCAAGAAATAATGTACACATTTATTTTCTTGATAGAATGACCTGACAGGTGAACACTCTTGTATCATGTTACACCTGTTGACCGAAGAGGAGGGGGAGGAGGAAAGGAAACAAGAGTCATGGCTACAAGCCTTCTGGAAAGGTACACCGAAAATCCTTATATAAGGAGCATTTGTACTAATATATAGATATTGGGTTTTAGTTTTTATACTTGATGTATAGGTATAACTTATTTTTTGTTGTCATCTTGCTCCTCATGGATAATATGAACTGCTGTGCAATTATGAGTTGAGGTTGTATTATCTGTTTTAGCAAACATGTACATGTATCTAACATTTTCCATAGTTATTACTCTAATGAAAAAAAAAATCTGACAAACTGCTCCAACGGTTTCTCATAGCTTAAAATACTTTTTTTTTCTTTAGAAATATGTCACTATACTCATTCAATCAAACATTAAGATTTATTTTCACTTAGAGATATGAAGCAACACATATAGAGCTACAAATAATTCTTCCTTAAATCAAGGTGGTCCATATCAACTTTTAAAAATTTGTAATCACAAACTATGTGTAATAAATAAGTCAGACCAGTCAATTAAGCTTGTATGTATAAACTGAAGATTTTAAAATGAATCACTTTTATGCAGAAATTAAAAGCGAGTTATCGTTGTAGAATATTATGTGTTTGTTTAATACAGTAAAACTCGTTTAGTGCGAACACGAATATAGCGAATTTACGGATATAGCGAAGTTTTTCTGGGTTCCCGGCAAAGTTCTTAACAAATCTTTGTAAAATTTTACGGTTATAACGAACTCTGATATAACGAATTTACGGATATAGCGAACTGATTTTGAGTCCCGTTGAGGTTAAATATAATGAAATTTACATCTTTTATAACGAACTTTCAAAGATCTTAAAAAAATTGATAAATTTAACTGACTTTGTTCCATTAAGATTTTGTATATAAAATTCAATTCATAATAAAACCTTAGTTATCTTTGGTATGTTTTGTAATATTTGCTTCCCTAGCATATTTCTTAGTAATACTTAAGGGAAAACATGTATATTACGAATTCGCTATATATAGTTATACGAATTCGTTATACGGATATAATGAATTACGGATATAGCGAATTAAATTCACAGGTCCCCAGGACTTCGCTATAACCGAGTTTTACTGTATATTTTGACATTTACTACAGATTTCAGAAGGCGATTTGTGTCCCTGCTAGCATACCAGTTCAGAAATTTCACACCGTCCATGGCTCTAAGCATTCTGGAGCAGAAACAGTTCAAATCTGGCAAATCAAGTATGTTTTATTAAATAACATCATCTTTTATTCACATTATCTTGTATTACCCATGATACCAATCATTGGTGATATTTATGGAAGAAAGCTCATTGTGTTTGTCCATCTCTTTTGTAGATTTGTCGGTACAAGAACTAGAGTTGTACTTTACTAAGTATGATGTGAAGCGTTTAGAGCTGTACGCCCAGAACATGGTTGACTATCATCTGATAATAGATCTTCTGCCCGCCATCAGTCGTCTCTACTTCCTGAATCAGATCAATGTTCAACTCAGCATCGTACAGAGTGTAAGGCACTGATTTCAAACAAACACTGTTGAGGAAAAAAAAAATTGAAAGGCTTTGTTAATTTTCTTAAAAATTTAAATTATGGATTGGGTAGCTTTTATGTTTATTTTATTTAAATTAAAACCCTTTTTAATGAAAACACAAGTGATTTTTAGATCATAATTTGGTAGTCATTTATTATTAATTTTCTTGTTTTTTAAGGCTTTGCTGCTTGGGTTGGGATTGCAGCACAAAACTGTGGAAGATCTGGAGAAAGAGCTTGATCTTCCCTCCAGCCAATTACTGGGTCTCTTCAACAGGATCATCCGCAAAGTTGTCCACGTAAGTAATCATCTTCATGTGTATTAAATGATGTTACAAGTATTTTGATTAGGAAGATCATTTTCCAAGCAAGTTTTGCCTTGTTCGCTCTTTGATATTAAGTATCTGCATATTATTGAAATGTTGTTGTACGTACATCAGAGTCTGAATGAAGTAATGGAGGAGGATGTAGAGAAAGATATGATAGAGAGGAAGGAGATAACACTGCAGCCCACAGAGCAGTCTATGGAGGAGGAACTGGTAAGTTCTACATCCAGGCAGTAAAGTAATCAGTTACAGACATGAAGGTTTTCTATCAAGGAGATAATAAACTCAGTACAAACACTCAGTACTGTCCCTGAATTATGTTTGTGTGGGAAAAATACCAGTATGTAATTCCTAAAGAACATGACTTCTGTATACAATGCAGATTATTTTAGCCTATAGACAACATCCAATAAATTTATTTAATGTCAGATGAACTCTTTATTTTACAGACAGCAGCAGCAGAGGAGGTTGAGGCAGCCCAGAGGAAGGAACTGGCTTTTCTGAAGGACCTTGACCTGTCCCAGTATAAAATAAAGGGGTCAGAGCAGGAGTGGAAGCAGGCCCTTGGGTCAGGGTCAAAGATGATCAGCATCAAGGGGTAACTCAGAATTACATGTATCTTGTGTAAAAGGGGATCTCTGTAGCAATCTCAAGCTGTAAACGAAGGGAATTTTAAAAGTGGGGTTCAAAGTGGTTATTTTTTTCAAAAAACATATATATCAAAAATTATCTTTATTTTATGATTATTTCAGATCATTACAAGAGAAGAAAAGGAAAACAGAGGACGCTATTGCATTGCTAGAAGGATCTGGTAAAAAGAAGAAAATTAAGAAAAAACACAAAAGTTGATGTCTATAGTATTTTGTCTTAATTATATGTCATGTACATGTTGAATCACTGCATTGAATTGGGACATCTGGGGATATTTTAAAGTTAGTACATGTACTCTTATGAGGAGTTACTAATGAGACCTTTTATTCAAAAAGGATGAAATAAATGTTCAGGCTTTTCCATGTATATTCTTAATATTAAAGAGATGAAATGAGTCATAATCATATATTTCTTATATAATATTTGTTAAATAAATCAAAAGATTTCTGAAAAGTATTGGTACTCAGGTTTTGTAAAACTAAAATTGTAAAGCAAGCAAAGTGTAAAATAAAATAAAAAGTGCCAGAAAAGCAAAGATCCTTATCATTGTCACATGACTTGTTATAACTCTGAAACAACATTTAAGAAAAGAGTGAAACAACATTTAAAGCCGCTTAGTCCGATTCTAATTGCGAAAAAATATATATTAGTTTTTCTTCTTAAAAAATAATTGTCCATAAATTGTTTCAACTTTTTTCAAATTATATTCCCAAAGTCTTTTTCTTTTAAAAGATAAAATTCAAAAGTTAAAAAAATAATTTTTGTTAGCTCACACAAAAATAATCCTATGTATATATCGCGTGAAATCGCCTTCGAAAAAATTGAATTTATCGCTTATATCTCATGAAGAACAAACCTGGGCATTTTTCACAACAAAGTACTAATAACTGTACACGGACAATATTTTAGCCTTCGTTACTAAACTTCCTTTAAAAAAAAATCTTTAAAAATATCTGATTTTCCTTTATTTTAAAATATGCATATTAATATGAAAATACTATAGATTATTCAATTAATTTCTTAATTTTCAAAAAATATATATTATGACTAGGGTTCTACTAATGGAAAAAATACTCGGGTTTGAATTATCTTCAAAATTAGATATAATTGATAATTTTATTTTTTTCAAAGGTCAGAGACCAGAAGAGCTTATGCGATAGTAATGCGTCCATCGTCCGTCCGTCTGTCCACAAACAATTTTTCAAAATGCTACTCCTCCTCAGTTTTGGACTGATTTCAATATGACTTGGCACACAAGTAGACTACAGTAAGATACATAATTCTGTGCATCGGTTTTTGATTTCGATGAACGGTGTTGCCGTGGTTACTAAAAATAGAAATTTCTGTGAAATTCTTTCAAAATGCTACTCCTCCTACAGTTTTGGACTGATTTCAATATAACTTGGCACACAAGTAGACTACAGTAAGATTCATAATTTTGTGCATCGGTTTTTGATTTCGATGAACGGTGTTGCCGTGGTTACTGAAAATAGAATTTCTGTGAAATTCTTTCAAAATGCTACTCCTCCTACAGTTTTTGCCTGATTTCAATATAATTTGGCACTCAAGTACACTACACTAAGATACATAATTCTACGCATCGGTTTTTGCTTTCTATGAACGGTGTTGACATGGTTACTAAAAATAGAAATTTCTGTGAAATTCTTTCAAAATACTATCCTCCTACAGATTTTAATATAACTTGGCACACCAGTGTTTTCAATAAGATTTTCAATAGAAGGAAAAATAAATGGAATAGCAGGAAGCCAGTCTCGGCGAGGGGTCTGGGGGCCGCCTTAGGCCCCCAGCGGGTCCAGGGCAGAGCCCTGGTAGGGGGCCCAGGGGGGCGAAGCCCCCCGGCCGAAAACGAAATTCAGTATTTTTGTCTCACTTTTCTTACCTCTCAGGCCATTAAAAAAGTACTATTTTTTCACATTCATGTCACTATAAATTATCATATTTTACCTTAAAAGGTCAATTAGAAAACAATTTTTGTCTCTTCACAGATTTGTTTGACAGATTTTTGACAGACTTGAGTTTTTTTTTCTTCTGAAAACTACGTGTCTATTAAAACATATAGACAACTTCAGTATGAAATTATAGTACAGATAATAATTGTATATATAAAATATCATACTGAAAATTCTACATATTTATTCCCTTCACATAAATTGGTCAGGACTTTTATTCATATTTTTAAAAAAATTATTGTTAAAAATTTAAAGATTTTTTAAACACTTGGTGATGTACAGTACCCCTAAAATTGAAATATTCTGCAATCTTAGACTTTTAATAAAATAATCTTTAAACTGATTTAATTTTTTGACATTTTGTACAGATTGTCAGAACAAAGTAATTAAGAAGATGGAATTTGATACAAAATTCTAGTACATTAAATCCTTCCCAAATGTGAAAACGATACTGTCCCTGTATTTCAAGAGATCTTACACGAATAAATGATAATAAAGTTTTCAGTTTGATGATATTCTGTAAGAATTTCTATGTCTGAGTCACGTCTTAGCTTAACATTTGATATTTTCATTTTGAGCAAAATTCTGTAGTAAGGTCTTCAAATTATATTGGCCTAGATATCGATATTTGCTGTTGTTTCACCGGGGAACCCCTCGCTTAATATTGAGTCTGTGGCAAATCAATTTTAAATCGAAAATTATAAAACACAAACAAATCTTTCGGAAAGAACCATACTTTATGCCTCTTAATGTATGTGATCTCAAACGCATGTGTTACAGCAGCAGCACGTTCGTTTCTCCACAACTTCGCTCAAAGGTAGCTAAACACAGTTTCGTATAAAATCCAGGGGGTTTTTCCCAGAGAGAAGCATGCTGGGTAGGGATTTTCCTGCTATTTATAGGAGTCTTGATGAAAACTGCATCTTTTTTGTTTTTATTCGCATAAAGTAGAGTCTTATCTTAATATTTAAAGAAAAAAATGTGCATTCATTTTTAGAAAAAAAAAATTGTGAGACTTTTTAATAGGGGGAGATAACTCCCAAAACATCCAGTTTTCACATGTGCAGAATTGCATGAGTCAATTAGCAGGTAATGTAGCTCTTTCAAGAGGTGGAAAATGTACCCTGAAAGCACACTAAAAGAAAACCTTAGGACTTGTTCTGTGAAATGCATGCAACTTATTTTGTCTGATTTTTTCTGTTTTTGTTGAGCAGGGGGGTTAAAAATGCATAGGTGCACTGAAAATGGATGCATAAACAACCCAATATCCCCCTTATTTCAGGTGTCAAATACCCCCTAGTAGTAATTGATGAATGTATTATAGTTGGATATTTACAAAATTCACAATTTTATCTTTCCATTGATATGCAGAAGTCTATGTAACAAGCCTCCATTTTATTTTTTTATAGGGGTCAGTTGTGCATGTCCCTCACCAAGTAACGTCCTGATAACGTCATACATAAAACTGTGTTTTGCACCCTTAAGGAGTAGCATTTGATGACATTTACCACATTTATTTGCCTGTAAGTTCATAGAAAATTGCTTTATTTGTTTTAATTTATGTAGTAAACAATACAATATCATCTCAGGTTGACACTGTGTAAGGCATAATGCCTATTAGATACATGTTCCATAGAATTTATACATATAATTAGGATTCAGGGGCTAAAGTTGTTATTTTTACATTATGACGCAACTGCATTGTGACATCAAAGTGTGACGTCATGTCAAAAATGGCAGCTTTGCAAGGTCATGACCTTCAATTTAATTGATCGCAAATGAGAATATGTATCTTCTGTATAGATATACATGTGACATAGACCTATTGAGTATCTAGTTAGGGTGACACCATCCAGGTGTTTTAGGAAATCTTCTGATTTAAGACAGTGACTATTTCCAATTAGACCCCCCCCCCCTTGTTTATACAGAAACTAGCAATATCTGTAAAAATTGTTTGGCAGCTTTTCAAAAAATTTATAATGTAACATTTTATTGATATTCAAATACTGTATATTTCATACTTTGTGTTTTTTAAATTGAAGAAAAATAAAATTATTGTGTGAGCTGATTCGGTTAGGTTTGAATTTCTCTTCGAAGTCCTGTTTTATGCGTCGACTAATGTCGTAGACATGTAATACTTAATTTACAATAACTTGCCCACTTCTGGACCAAATTCAACAATTTATGCACCAAAATGTTTGGAATTCTGTCCTCTTTGCACCTAAATACAAAGAAGTGAATTGCAAAAAAAAATTATTTCCTTTAAGGTAGCTAAACACAGTTTCGTATAAAATCCAGGGGGTTTTTCCCAGAGAGAAGCATGCTGGGTAGGGATTTTCCTGCTATTTATAGGAGTCTTGATGAAAACTGCATCTTTTTTGTTTTTATTCGCATAAAGTAGAGTCTTATCTTAATATTTAAAGAAAAAAATGTGCATTCATTTTTAGAAAAAAAAAATTGTGAGACTTTTTAATAGGGGGAGATAACTCCAAAACATCCAGTTTTCACATGTGCAGAATTGCATGAGTCAATTAGCAGGTAATGTAGCTCTTTCAAGAGGTGGAAAATGTACCCTGAAAGCACACTAAAAGAAAACCTTAGGACTTGTTCTGTGAAATGCATGCAACTTATTTTGTCTGATTTTTTCTGTTTTTGTTGAGCAGGGGGGTTAAAAATGCATAGGTGCACTGAAAATGGATGCATAAACAACCCAATATCCCCCTTATTTCAGGTGTCAAATACCCCCTAGTAGTAATTGATGAATGTATTATAGTTGGATATTTACAAAATTCACAATTTTATCTTTCCATTGATATGCAGAAGTCTATGTAACAAGCCTCCATTTTATTTTTTTATAGGGGTCAGTTGTGCATGTCCCTCACCAAGTAACGTCCTGATAACGTCATACATAAAACTGTGTTTTGCACCCTTAAGGAGTAACATTTGATGACATTTCCCACATTTATTTGCTTGTAAGTTCATAGAAAATTGCTTTATTTGTTTTAAATTATGTAGTAAACAATACAATATCATCTCAGGTTGACACTGTGTAAGGCATAATGCCTATTAGATACATGTTCCATAGAATTTATACATATAATTAGGATTCAGGGGCTAAAGTTGTTATTTTTACATTATGACGCAACTGCATTGTGACATCAAAGTGTGACGTCATGTCAAAAATGGCAGCTTTGCAAGGTCATGACCTTCAATTTAATTGATCGCAAATGAGAATATGTATCTTCTGTATATATATACATGTGACATAGACCTATTGAGTATCTAGTTAGGGTGACACCATCCAGATGTTTTAGGCAATCTTCTGATTTAAGACAGTGACTATTTCCAATTAGACCCCCCCCCCCCTTGTTTATACAGAAACTAGCAATATCTGTAAAAATTGTTTGGCAGCTT